CCCGGCCTTCGCCAAGGCAGGGGCGGCACCTGGGACCACCGCAGGTGTGGAACTTGTTTTTGTTGGCTTCAAATGCCTCAATGCTTCGCGGCAGCTTCGACCAGGCACTCTGGCCACAGGCATTTGCTGTTAGAGCCATCAAGCTTGCCGTTTGCCTCCATAGCCATCTGTTGTTCGGGCCTGCCGTTTGCCCCAGGCACTTTGGCCACAGCCCTCTGTTGTTATGGGGGGTTCAAGCCTGCCCTCTGTTGTTAGGGCGCTCAAGCCTGCCGATTGCCAGCCTTCAAACCCTTAAAATCCGCGGCAGCTTCGACCAGGCACTCTGGCCACAGGCATTTGCTGTTAGAGCCATCAAGCTTGGTTAAATCACAATTGTTGATTGTAAAATCACCATGTTTGATGGTTAAATCACAACTTTAGATGGTAAAATCACCATTTTTGATGGTTAAATCACAATTTTTGATGGTAAAATCACCATGTTTGATGGTTAAATCACAATTTGTGATGGTAAAATCACCATGTTTGATGGTAAAATCACATTTTTTGATGGTTAAATCACCATTTTTGATGGTTAAATCACCATTTTTGATGGTAAAATCACAATTTTTGATGGTTAAATCACCATTTTTGATGGTAAAATCACCATGTTTGATGGTTAAATCACAATTTTTGATGGTAAAATCACCATTTTTGATGGTAAAATCACCATTTTTGATGGTAAAATCACCATTTTTGATGGTTAAATCACAATTTTTGATGGTAAAATCACAATTTTTGATGGTTAAATCACCATTTTTGATAGTTAAATCACCATTTTTGATGGTAAAATCACAATTTTTGATGGTTAAATCACCATGTTTGATGGTTAAATCACCATTTTTGATGGTTAAATCACCATTTTTGATGGTAAAATCACAATTTTTGATGGTTAAATCACAATTTTTGATGGTAAAATCACCATTTTTGATGGTTAAATCACCATTTTTGATGGTAAAATCACCATTTTTGATGGTAAAATCACAATTTTTGATGGTAAAATCACCATTTTTGATGGTAAAATCACAATTTTTGATGGTAAAATCACCATTTTTGATGGTTAAATCACAATTTTTGATGGTAAAATCACCATTTTTGATGGTAAAATCACCATTTTTGATAGTTAAATCACAATTTTTGATGGTAAAATCACCATTTTTGATAGTTAAATCACTATTTTTGATGGTTAAATCACCATTTTTGATGGTTAAATCACTATTTTTGATAGTTAAATCACCATTTTTGATGGTAAAATCACCATTTTTGATGGTAAAATCACAATTTTTGATGGTAAAATCACAATTTTTGATGGTTAAATCACAATTTTTGATGGTTAAAATCACAATTTTCATGTTTTGATGGTAAAATCACCAATTTTTGATGGTAAAATCACAATTTTTGATGGTTAAATCACAATTTTTGATGGTTAAATCACCATTTTTGATTGTTAAATCACCATTTTTGATAGTTAAATCACCATTTTTGATAGTTAAATCACAATTTTTGATGGTTAAATCACCATTTTTGATAGTTAAATCACCATTTTTGATGGTTAAATCACCATTTTTGATGGTTAAATCACCATTTTTGATGGTAAAATCACAATTTTTGATGGTTAAATCACAATTTTTGATGGTAAAATCACAATTTTTGATGGTAAAATCACAATTTTTGATGGTAAAATCACAATTTTTGATGGTTAAATCACAATTTTTGATGGTTAAATCACCATTTTTGATAGTTAAATCACAATTTTTGATGGTTAAATCACCATGTTTGATGGTAAAATCACCATTTTTGATGGTAAAATCACCATTTTTGATGGTAAAATCACAATTTTTGATGGTAAAATCACAATTTTTGATGGTTAAATCACAATTTTTGATAGTTAAATCACCATTTTTGATGGTAAAATCACAATTTTTGATGGTAAAATCACAATTTTTGATGGTTAAATCACAATTTTTGATGGTTAAATCACCATTTTTGATGGTTAAATCACCATTTTTGATGGTTAAATCACCATTTTTGATAGTTAAATCACAATTTTTGATGGTAAAATCACCATTTTTGATGGTAAAATCACAATTTTTGATGGTAAAATCACAATTTTTGATGGTTAAAATCACGTTAAATCCGGATTTTTGATGGTCCGATCATGGTTGAGACAGCCATTTCCTGGTCACCGGGCTGAGACTTGGCCATGGACAGCGCAGCGCTTTGCTGCGCCCGCTCAGCAGCTGGCAGTGTCACGTGGAGTTCGAGGGGGGTTAGATATGTAAATACTATAGATACTATTAAAATATATCTGTAGTCTATAGTCAACAACTATCTATATATATATAGTGGAGTTTGGTGGAGTTATACTATATCATCTAAATGAGAATAGAACTGCAATACATTCTAAATACAAGCATAGTCATAGAATATGAATAACATATCTTATACATATTAAATAAATCAC